CAATTCCGTTATTTACTCGGAAAGCCAACTGTTAATAAACCAACTAAACTGGTAATTCTGACCTTAAACTGGAAATTTCGACTTAAAATTCCGACTTTAAACTTAGAACGACTTTAACAAGCAGGGCATAAGAACTTGTATCATTATTTTTAAAAGTAAAATCACCGTCTAAGTTTTTCACTCCTAGTTTCAAAGTATCCCATATATTTATAGAATCGTTATTTAAAAATTCAGCCATGAAACTTATCCGTTTCAAGAGCAAGTTTCTATGAGGTAAGTTCTTATTAATTTAATACTTCTGCTCAATTGTACAATTGTTCTTAAAAACAATTAAAATTATATAAATCATTATCTCAAAAAATATATAATAAAAATAAAAGGTATAATATAAATAAAACATATAAATAAAAATAAATAATATATAATGGGATTTGTGTAATACTGATTTAATCAAGTCTATTGCTGATTTTATAAATGTTGCTGGAAAAACAAGGTACTTTTAATTCTTATATGCATCACTAACATTTCACTGACAAATCGTTTGTCTACAAAGCAGTACCATAGATTTCAATATTTTTCGTACTTCCCCAAAAATCAAAACAATATACATAACACATAACAACTTTTTTATTATCGATATTCATTTTTTTTATAAATGTAGTAAATTTACACATAAATATTTAAAAAAATCGTACTATCATACCATAAATATCCGCTCTTGCAGTTTCTTATTTGTGCTTTCCAGCTTATACGTAAGTACATATCTGACTTATAGGGTACTTTCGGAAAGTCACCTTCCTCATTATTTAATGTTAAGTATTTAATTTTTAAGCACCATTAATATTCACAACTTGGAAATCCCACACTGGTCCTTTACTTTTTTATTTCGGGGCACCTGTACGTTTAGATGTGAATTGAAGTATTCTTTCCACGACCGTATAATATTAATTTTTTTATTAGATTCTTAAAAATAGCTTTTTCTTCCTAACATCGAAATATATTTGAATAGCACGCCATGAAAGTTTTATAAAAGGTGTTAATTATACTTCAAGGCCATTCCAAATGTGTTAGACGAACGAAATTGATCAATAATTGATTTACAAAATTGACCAATAAAACTTGATTCTTAATGTCGCAATATTTAAGATACGATGAACGAAATTGATCAATAATTGATTTACAAAATTGACCAATAAAACTTGATTCTTAATGTCGCAATATTTAAGATACTGACGAATGTTTCAGATGGCGATTCTTTGAATCATTTTAAGAGGAAGAGTTTGTATGAACTTACATAAACAGATACAAGTTTTAGTTTTAGTTTTAATAATCGTATATGGCTTTATTGTTTTTCAAGATATTATCCATGAATATTAATACACTTTTGCATGCCGTTGAACCAATTTGCGAAGCACTTTTTCCATTCCGATAGAGGTACCTCCAAAACATGTATTTTGAACACATCAACATCTTCGGGCGTCGACATAGATCTCGTAATTAATTTTTAATGTGCGGGAACAAAAAAAGTCATTGTGTGCCAAATTAAGGCTGTACGGCGGATGGCTCATCGACTTTTTTAATTCTCAAAAAGTCTCTTGCTTGTGCCGATGTGTGAGAGCTCGAATTGTCCTGGTGGAAAATGATACGACTTCGGCGATTGGTCTCCCTTATTTTTCCAAAGACTTCTGGCAAACAAATGGTTGTGTACCATTTACAATTGACCGTCCGACGTTGCACTAATGGTACGGTTAATACACGTCTAGTCTTTCCGAAAATAACAGGCAGAAGTGCTTCGAACTTTCGTTGGATTTGGCTCATCTTGAAAGGCCCATACAGTCGAGTGCTGTTTACTTTCGGGCTCATACGCATATATCCATGATACCATGATTCATCCTCCGTTGCGATGTCATAGACGTGTTTTGAAGCACCGCGATCCTATTTCTTGAGCATTTCTCTCACTAATCGACACGAGCCCTTATTTGAGCGTTTGTCAGATTATGTGGGATCCACCGCAAACAAATAATTTTTTGGCGGCCAAATTATGCAATATTGAATGTATGCTGGTCCCACTAATGCCCAAGGGTGCCTCAATATCACGATAAGTCACATGACGATCTTCCATTATCAGTTCAAGGATAGCATCAATGTTTTCTGAATCAACAAACGATTTTGTCGATGCACTGTTGAGATAATCCAAGTCGAAAATTGTAATAAATAATCGCATGGAAATGTTCACGACTTAATTCCATTTTTTGGCCGAGATGAAATGAGTCACTGTAAACAATACAAATAGCGCTTGTACGTCAAAACGTTCTGAGTAAGTATACCGACAAAAAGTCAAACTTTACGATAGGAACGTTGGGTGTCAGATGGCAGTACCAAGATCGTCCATTCCCGAAATATAAAAGGCAATCCTCATATTTGTAGATACATACAGTCCGTACAATATTTGTTGAGATAGAATTCCAAGAAAAGCATAAGCCAATAAAGTTATGTTATCGGAATTACTTTAGCAATTTACCGCGGCAGAAGCGTGCCTTGAAATTTTCCTCCAATGTCTTTTACATCGGGTATCGGATGCAGTTACTTCCAAGAAAGTGACGCAAGGTGCTTCTTGGAATTCTATCTCAACAAATATCGTACGGACTGTATATGCGGTGTAAGTCCAATATTTTATTTAATCTACAAGCTTTAAATAAACAAATCTTACACCTGATATACTTTATACTGCTATTATTCTCTCAAAATTCTACTTTAATTTATATTCACGTTAGTAAAACATTTCGTGACAAACGTTTTTCAGCAATGCAAATCTGAACATACAAATCTTGTTACCTACCATTTGACTAACCTCTGGGAAATAATATTCTGATCACGACTATTGCTTGTTCATTCTTCAGAACCGTATTAACTCTTCTCATGTAATTTTTTAAGAACTGTTAATATTCATGCACTGTAGAGTTCACATCGTGAACACTACAGTCTTTGGATGGATACGCGGAAATGATATTTTGTTTACCGGATCTTATACACCTTATTAGAGTACTTTGTAAAAACGTTAAAGATTTTGTTTTTATTTTAATTTTTTGTTCCATAAAATTACATACATGTATAAATGCGTATAAAAAGTTTTATAGAAGGTGCATATACTTTTGACAGATTGATTCCAATTCAATATTTGTATCTCCGATCAGTCAGATCAATCCATTCGAATATTAGCATTTCTATCGAGCTACGTTTCACTTCCGGAATGTATGATAATTATGTTTACAATTTTTGGCTGTGCGGAATTCTTTACAATGAGTAAGGGGCTTTAGGAGGGACTTCCTGGGGCTATACTCTGAAAATATTGGGCTATACTCTGAAAGACAGATATGCTTATATGCCTAAGGTGATTCATAGCCAGTGAAAAATAAAATCGGAGGAACATAGAGCATCAAAAATGTAGCAAATTTACCTTATGAAAGGGCGTTGAAGTTAAAAACAATCAGAAGATCAAATTTCGATGATATACAAAAACGTTGGTAAAATTATCCCTCTATACATGCAGATGTCAATTTTCTGCATTTTTATACTAACTTATTTACTATAAACGGTTTTAAAAGTACGTATTGCGAATAATATGTTTACATCTATAGGTATTTTCGTTTATTATGTAACAGCACGTGAGTTTCTATATTATTTTTTTTATATGAATCTATGCGTTCAGTAAATAATTATCTGTTCAGTTTAAATCCTATTATTTTAATGAGCAGGTACATGTATATAGAGATGTCCATAAAAAAGATTTATCGTGTAATAAAAGTGATTTACAATAACGTTAATATTGTTCAGCATAGATTTAAACACGGGTGTTACAACCTACGCCTAGTTTGCCCTAAGCGTTCAAATAAAAACAGTTAAATGTGGAAGGAATTTCGTCCCTTAAAATACAAAACGTGCGAGCAATATTACAAATACTTGAAATAAATATTTTTGATATACTTTCAATTATACTAGATGTTTTAATTAGTTCGTAGATTTTTATCAAAGATAAATTGAGTTTTTCTGCTGTTTCGATTTAAAACTCAATTTTAATTTTAAAAACTTATTATTTATATTTTTTCTAAAAGCCGACAAATAAGAGAATGATTACAAGTTAGAATTACACATACGATTTAACAATACTAAACGATTTCTGTGTTAAATAGATCGCCCAGTGCATATTTGGTAATATTTTTTTAAATCTTTAAGTTAGCACTAACGAAATAAAATTACTTTTATTTGCCGTTTTCAAAGGTTCCGTATGTTTATTTATATTTAATTGTTGTATTGTAATGTTTAGATATACAGCTAGAAAATAATCAAATAGAATAAAATTTTAAATCTAAACATGATCCACGCCATCTACAGTATAGATGTTAAAGGAAATATTTCCATTGAATCATTCTCTAGTTTGCAGAGTAGATTTCTGTGTACGGTAGGTTACAATTAACACGGCGTCCTGGGTAAGCGGCGACAAACGGCCGGTGCGGCCGGTGCGACCGGAACGGCCGAAGCAGTGATTTTCAAAATTAGAGCATCATAGGTTCTGTCCTACGTACGAGGTACCGCCCGGCACAAGCGGCTCGTGCGGTTTTCATGCGGACGACGCGATCAAATTATTTGATAATTCCGCCTCTGCCGCTTCAGTTTACATTTTTAAATCTTAAAAATTATATGAGAATTATATAATCGACCATTCGAGAGAATGGACCTGCACTCTTAACAGAAATAGACGTTAGCATCGCGTCGGCCATTTCAACCGCGTCGAACGCGCCGGCCGCACCGGCCGTTTGTCGCCGCTCACCCAGGGACGCCGTGTAATTTCTATCTAGAATAGGTTTGTATACAGAATAGAATTAAAAGAATTCTTCTTCCAAGACATGGTCGTTATAGCTTCATCCATTAGGTGGCGCAACTATGAGCATCAACATCAACAACAGTGACGTCACAAATCACCTCATTCCTCTCACATTTGATTCGCTAGTCGTTGTATGGTGATTCTATAGAACGACTTTATTAAAGGCCATCAAAAAATATTAGTGACAAGAAAAATGGAAGAAAATATATCTCATTTCACCTCACCCGGTGATTTCAATCTTATACCAGAACTAGCTGGCATTGACGGTAAGTATTTATCAATTGTTTACTTATAAGGTCTGACTGAACTGAACAGGGTTTGTTGATTTTAGATATTTTCAAACATTGTGAAAACGAGTTGATGAAAAGTGATTTGTTTGGCGATGAGGCTTTGTCCCATTTAGATGATGATCTCCTTATGGAGGATATTTCGTCATTAGATTTAATAGACTTGCATAATCCGAGCCCTTTCCTAAACTCACAGGCTACTCTCCCTCCAAGCCTTCCTTTAGATCAACAGAGCTCTATATTTGACACACCGCAAGTATCACCGTCTTATACAAGCACTCCACAACATATTAATCGAAGTCCCAAATATTCTCCCTCTCCCACACAAACAAAGAGTAGCCCTGTTGTTCAAAACATACAGTTAAAAAATGTGACTCTGCCCATTCAAAACCAAACAGCTGTTATAATTTCATCCGAAAACCTCTCGCAAACTACACAACCACTTGTGTATACGAGTTTACCTATTCAGAACCAGCATATAATTCTACAAAGCAATACTACTCCACCAAAACAAAAGAGTCGGCCTGTGGTTTTGCAGAATATTCAACAGATTTCATCTGAGCAAATGCAGCCAGTTGTACTCCAAGCGAAAATAATAAAAAGCGATTCGCAGGTATGCAACATTGTACTTAATATATAAAAAATATATTTTAACATTTCATTAGGTAAACCCACCAACAGTTATGTACACTACAGCAGTGTCTAATAATACATGTCAGCCCATCCATACTCTATTGAACACTAATGGAATCATAACAAGTGGAATACCATTAGTTCTGGATAGTGACAGCAAAGTAGCGATAAATCGTGTTCAACCCGTAAAAGAGCAGAAAGTGAAAGAGGTTAAGAGAAGTGCACACAATGCAATTGAAAGAAAGTATCGTACAAGTATTAACGACAAAATTATCGAACTGAAGAATATGATCGTGGGAGAAGATGCAAAAGTGAGTTGTTTTATGTTTAAATTCACTAATTCACATTTAAATATTTATTGAGGATTTTATTACATCTTTTTTGTGTTGATATTCCACCATTTAGTAAAATTTTTACTTTAAACTTGCTAAATATAAAATTAATTTTGTTTTTGTGAACTAAAAGATTTTTAAACAACAAAATAATTGAAAACTCATTTGGTACCTGATTTTATCTGTAACTGCTGTCGACGTTGACAATAAATATACCCATTTTCAATCATCCCCTCAAATTGGAGAATTTTTATCAAAAATGGCCGATCTTGCTTGAATTAAAGGGTAATATTAATATTAAAGTAATAACTGATAAAGTAAAAGACTTAATTTTTAGAGAATATTCTTTTCTATTTTCTAGAATGTAGTAATAATCGTAATTTTATTTTTTTTGCTACTGTCGGCGTTAATGTGGTTAAAAGAACAAATTTCAATAGATTAAAAAACAAAATGCCTATTAAGTAAAATAAATCTATATAAATAAAATCAGCTTGCCAAAAATGGATCAATTTTTCGACCACTTGGTTAAAAATTATAAAAAGAAATCGAGGCACTGGAATAAAGTGGTTGAAAACTGGGCCGTATATTGTAATTATGTATCTAAATGAGTTAAAGTAAAACAGATAATATTGGATTGTAATTATATTAAAAGAGAAAGAAAAAGAGAAATTTGACCTCAATTTTCAAACAGTTGGTCTAAATTCAGTCAGAAACATTTTTGTAATATCTATAACTCAACTACTTGGATGGTTGTCGACCCTACAAACTTGATAAGTGTTGCACATGTATGTGCGAAATATATATATTTTTTTCATTATCAGTTTTTTTTTTTAAATTTTTCATAAAACATTCCAATCTTCAAACTTCACAATGCTGTAACTTAAGGCATAATTAATTTTCAATCCCTCATATTCAAAGCGTCATGGAATCTACACAGGTCCAAAAATGTATTGCCTACACCCTTATGCCCCAACACAACTATATAGTACCACCAATTTGCAGATGTCTTCCAATTCCGGGTATTTTTTCTTATTCCAAAATTCTTCTTAAAAATTGCATCTTTTCATTTTAAAATCCATTATCCTCTAAATATAATTGCATTGTAAGTGATTTTTAACGATGTCGAGTTTATAACGAATCTAAAATGGTATTTTCAAAGAAAAAACTTTTTAGTTGAACAAATCGGCGATTCTAAGAAGGACAATCGAATACATCCGTTTTCTACAAAATTCAAATACTAAGCTAAAACAAGAAAACATGGCTTTGAAGATGGCCGCAAGACAAAACACACTCAAAGGCCTGCTCACTACCGGTACGAACTTGAAATACAGTCCTGAAGATACGCCTCCACATTCTGACCACTCTCTATCACCCGAACATTCTCTACCACCTAGCCCTGAATACAGCGCTAATATTAAAGATGAGATGGAGGACGAGAGCATGACTCTTACGAGAGGAATGTTGGACAGTTCCAGGTTGACTTTGTGCATGTTCATGTTTGTAATGGTTGTCGTAAATCCGTTTGGATATATCCTGAATAGAAATAGTATGGGATATGGCGGTGAAACTGAACCCAACAGAAGAGGAATTTTGGGATGTAAGTCATATGAAGACAAATTTTGTATCTGAATGAAAAAATGTGTTCTAATTTCAAAGTTGATTTTTTGATGTCTGGCCCATTTGATTTCACCAATCTTTACTTTGAATTAAGTTTATTCCTCAGTAATGACTAGAGTACAAATAACGGTACACTGAATATCAGTTTTTAGAATATACTGAGTGAAAGAGATAAGATGTTTTTTCTCTGAAATATGAAATAAAGTGTAGAGCATGCTAAGATAACAAACATTTACTTAAATCAAATTGTAGTCCCATCTTTTCTGAATAATTTGTTTTTTATTTTCGTCATTATCTCTGTTACTATTTGAGATACACAGTTGTGTTTGTGTTTTAAGTTTCGAGGAGAAACATATTCTTCCCTTCAAATATATGCTGAAAACTGAAATTTCAATGAAAATTCTATTTCAGTGTCTTTACTGACCAATAAATCTATATTTAAAACAAAAGTGTCAATCTTGAGTTAATCACACGAGAAAATCAACTTTAAGGTTGAGGTCCATTTATCATACTTTTTTAGTGAATGAATCGACATCGGTTTCTGTCTCTCCCTCGGCTTTCTTGCTGTGGCTTATAAACATATTTATATTTGGCTTCTGCTTGGTGAAAATGTTTGTTTACGGAGATCCTATAATACCGAGTAAATCAAAAGAAGCTCAAAAATATTGGACACATAGGAGACAAGCAGACGTGCTACTCGCAAAGGTAAAATAATGTCAGGATTTAAATTTTTTCATTGTGATGTGTTGGTTTTATTTGTTTCAGGGTGAAAAGATGGAGGCTAAACAGGAACTACTGAGAGGCCTACAGACTTATGGAATAATTTTACCAACAAGTCGCTTTGAGTTAGTTCTCTGTCTTTGTTGGCAAATGTTCAGGCAGGTTATGCACAGATTGTGGATTGGAAGGTGGCTGTCACGGCATTCGGGAGGCTTCTTCGTGGACGGGTAAGTTGTTTACACAAAATAAGTTTTTTTTTCTTTGTATTTTCTTTTATATTACTTATTTCTAGTAATTACGTTTTTTTTTGTAGAATAACCAGGTTTGAGGCGCAAACGTCCTGCAAAGAATTGGCTCTGGTGTATAATGATTTGCATAAAATTCAGCTGATTGATGGGCCCGAAGAAACGTGTCACATGTTCGGCCTTACGACTTCTCTGAGCGCCTTAAATCTGGCCGAAGCTGCCAAGGGCAGGATAAAGCCGGTCGATATGATAGATATTTACGTTGGCGTCGCACTGCGGATAAAGGCTAGTTTACCGAATTTCCTACATTTTGCTCAGAGGTGAGTAAATTGGATTGCTTGCACAATATTTCAATAATATTGTTCTTACCTTTGATGTACAGGGTATTTTACTGTGTCCTCATATAAAAAAAATAATATAAATTTAAACATATATTTAGAAATTATATATAATATAATTTTTAAAATCTTTGACATCACTATTGTAATCAAATGTTGATAATCGGTGAGATATTTAGTCATTCTTGTTCGCCGTATTAATGTTGGCCGTTTGTTTTTGTATGCTTGTCTAGCGTCCTGTTGTCTAGGTGGATTGATATGTAGTTCACCTAAATTAGGTCAATGCCAGATATTATTGACACTGATATTTTCACAAACTAAACACAGTGCTTTAAAAAAAATAGGAACAAAAAGTTTTTATTGAAAACTTTAAATGATATTTCAAATCTGCCAAATTAGTAGGTACTTAAACAATATTTTAAAGTACACGGAGAAAATAGGTAATATTTTTCAAAAAGTTCCTAAAAAACTGAATCCCTACTAAAGTTATTCCTTATTACAAAAATAGATTTTTAATGTGGAAATGTAGTAAATAAATTATTATATTTAATATAGTTATATTTCTTCTTAAAATAAGGCATTCATTATTTTTAAATGTTTTCCTTTTTTCTGGTTTTCTTTTTTTATACAGGGTATCCCAAAAGTATGGAAACCCCAGAATAACTTGGAAGTAAAGGGCTATACGGAAAAACGTTTCATACAAAAGTTTCAGGATTTTTTCCGGGCTATTCAATGATGACCTTGAATTTGACTTTGGCCTTGATCTTGAAGGCCATTTCAAGGTCAGTCATTTTTTTAAAAGTGAACCCCTACTTTTTTTCACGCCATTGAAAAGAGCAGAAAATTTTACGTCCAAATATGACTTTGACCATGACCATGTCAAGGTCATTTTAATGTCAAATAAGATTTTTGATAGATACCGCCTGGAAACCGCAGAATACCTCGGAAGTAAACGGATATACGGAAAAACGTTTCATACAAAAGTGGTCTGAAGTGGTCTAAAAAATAAAGGTCATGAAGTCATGTTCGGAAGCAAAATTTTCCACTCTTTCTAACTCCACAATAAAAAATATGGGTTACCCTCACAAAGATGGACCCCTACCTTGAAATAACCATGATCTCAAGGTCATGGACAAAGCTATATTCGGACGTAAAATTTTCCGCGCTTTCCAATGGCATGATAAAAAGTAGGGGTTCCCATTTGAAAAAATTACCTTGACCTTGAAATAACTTTCAAGGTAAAATTCAAGGTCATCATTGAATAGCCTGGAAAAAATCCAGAAACTTTTGTATGAAACGTTTTTCCGTTTTTACTTCCGAATTATTCTGGTCTGTCCATACTTGTGGGATATCATGTATAATACATGAACTGTGAATTAATTTTGGTGGATATTTTTGTAAATTCAAGGCTTTATTGTGAAAAATTGTGTACATTATTATTTTTCAAAGTATTATCTGTAGCTAGCCACTACTTTTTCCCATCTTACGGGCAGCACATGCAATCGATCCAATTTTGTATATCATCGTAAGATTGGAAGTGCTTTTTAGCCAGGCCGTGTTCCATAGGTTGAAACAAGTAGTAATGCAATGGAGCAATATCTAGTGAATATGGCGGGTGGAGTAAAACATCCCATTTCAGCTTTCTAAATATTATGTAGTTTGAATTCGTTGTAAATTATTGCTATTACGTATGTTTTAGATATTACATAGGGTTGGCCCAACTATCATCGACTAACTCTTGTGATTCCATTCCGACTCGCCTGCAATGGTTGTTTACCCCATACGGTTATAAATTTTTCATTTCGCACAAATTTACCAAGGTAGTAAAAGGTAAATGTCTACCGTTCACCTCAAGCGGAAATATCCTTGATCCTCTGGCCGTTCAAATGAAGGTGGGTGGTTTGTAGGATAGCGTGAAAATAAAATTTTATACTTTTATTTCATCGTAGATTTATCACGAACACCTCTTGCAAAAAGCAATGCAAATCATACTGTCTCCGGGCCAGAAAAGCGAAAACGGCCAGGACAAGAAAACTGATATAAGCGACGCTTTGGCGTACATCGATTTGCTGAGTGATAGTACGAACGTCGACGCCAAAACTATATTTGGGTCAAGTGCTGGGCAAAGTAAGTGTAAAAAGTATTGGGTGTTTATGACCTAGGAGCGAAAAATTTTATAGAAACTCCTATAAGTAATGGTGCAAATTTTTTCTAGATTATTTGAAATTTTCAATATCAATGGGGTTAAACAAAAAAAATAGCAATTTTTTTTTAATTTATATTTTGTTTCACTTTAGTGATTTATTTTTAATTTGGCAAATGTAAATATGAAAAAAGATCTTAAAAAAGCAAAAAATGCATTTGTTTTTGGCAAATTCTTAAAAACAATTAAAATTTACTTTTTTTTGCAACTTAAATAAAACGGGATTTGAACATAAAGTAAAAGCATTGTTTGAAAAAAAATAGATTTTAAAAAATAATTTTAAAAATTAAAGATATAATAGGTATCTTAATTAAACTTAATTTCCCTTAATTAAACTTAATTTCCCTTAATTAAACTTAATTTCCCTTAATTAAACTTAATTTCCCTTAATTAAACTTAATTTCCCTTAATTAAACTTAATTTCCCTTAATTAAACTTAATAAAACTCTTAAACTAAAACATTTAGAATTAATTAAAAAAAAATGATTCTTTGGTAACGTTTTGTTGTTATTTTTTACATAATTTTCAGGGCTTTAAAAAACATATTTCTAAATTTGTTTTAACTATACCTACATTTAAAATTATCATTGAAACATAACACACAGTCCAGCTAATAAGTTTTGACAGATTGTATTGTGGCGAAGTGTGTGGCACTATCTATGTGCAGTCAACGGAACTACGTAGCGGCAAGCCCTCCGAGTGTATCTACCACGAAGTTATAACGTTTTGTGTGAAGTGAGTTTTTAATAGTAATCATGGAAATGCACATTGAACATCGTAGAACAATCAAGTTCTGTTTTAAAGCCAGCAAAACAGCCACGGAAACGTATCAACTTTTACAAATGGTGTACGATGAAAAGCGTTTATCACATCCAACTGTGTTCCTATGGTTTGAGAAGTTTTGTGATGGACGAGGCATGCATAACTACTACAGGACGGAGTGTGTCGTCGCACAAGCCAAACGAACTAAAACATCGAAGCTGTGCCCTCTGCATTGAAGTCTGATTAGCGATCAATAATCAGAATGTTGGCAGACTGTGTACGATTGATCGACAAACATTTTTCAGCGTAGAGCGCGCAGCTTCAATGTTTTCGTTTGTTGGACTTGTATAGGGACGTCCCGTCCCCTCGTCATCGTGCACGCTGTCTGGGCCATCACGAAACCTCCCGAACCACAGGAATACAGTTGAATGTGACATACAGTCCTCACCGTATGCCATTTGTAACAGTCGATATGTTTTCGTAGCTGTTTTACTGGCTTTTAAACAGAACTTACTTGCTGTACACTTTTCAATGTGCGTTTCCATGATAACTGTCAAAAACATCATAACTTCGTGGTAGACATACATATACTGATAAAATTTTGTTTGGTCACTACGTAGTTCCGTTGACCGCACATAGATAGTTCCAGGTACATCCCCACAATAAAATCCGTCTTAAAATTTAATAGCCGGGACTATGTAAACCCGCTAAATTTGAAAAAACTTGTTATAGCAAAACATTACAAAACAATATTTTCAGGTCACGTAATCCCATTAATATTGAGTTTTTGGAACAATATTATACTTTTTTTTGTACTATTATTTTTATGGCCAGAATCACAAAGTTCTTTGCTCATAGCTTCTGGACACCCTGTAGAAATATCAATGATAATAATTTAAGAAAATTGAGAAAATTAATTCTGTTTTTTAGGTTATCAAGACCCCATAGCCCAATGGTGGACCACCTTCATATCCATAGCTTGTCACTGGCTGTTGGACAACGACACCAGTCTGGAGCCTCTGTATAACAAAATATTGTTCATCCCGGAGGCCCTGGCCTCTCTAAACGATCCCCTGCCTAAATCTATCGTAGCGGCTTTTATAGCCCGTAAGAATTACATCGATTCGGAAATTAAAGTCGATACCAGGAAGATTCTGGCGCAGTGCGACTACGCTAGCCATTTGCTGGCGGACAGTTTGACTTACACCAGTTGTAAGCAGAAGGATAACTTGGTCTTGGTAAGTTTATTTACTTTTGACGAACTAAGTTTAATAAATTTGAAATTGTACTTTTTTTAAATTTTTCCGCAAAATTATTGAATATTTTGAAATTTTAATTTCTTTTTGTAAAAATAAATTCGGATTAAGTCATTCAAACACTTGGTACTAGGAAGAACAGTTTATTTTACAAGTTTTTATGATGAGAAAATCTTGAAAAAGAAGCATTTGCTAAATTTTATAAAAGTTAAGGATATTTACTTTAAGCTTAAATGTTATTGGGATCTTGTACTTGGAATGGAATTTCTTGTCATATCCGGCGTTTTAGTTGGTCCCATTGGATTTAAATCTAGGGTATGTTGGAATGGGGACTGAATGGAGAAATTAATCGCTATGCTAGTTGCGTGTGGCCGAGCGTTAACGTGCATTGTTATACAGTGTGTCCACGGATTGAGCGCACGTGAGCAACGTGACAAAAATTTTTCGAGTTAAAATTTGTGCTTCTGGGCTTCATCTCTTCTTGGCCTTTAACTGATAAGTTGAAAATTTTAGTCCAATTAATGCACAGGGTGTTTTTATGATGAATTTTCAAAAATTGTCAAGTAAAGTACCTTTGTTTTTAAAAATATCAAAAATATTTACTTAAGAAAGTTATTGAGAACTAAAAGTTACGACAGATCATCAATTTTCAATTTGATCGGCCAACTTTGTTTTTTTTTCTTTACTTTCCAACACGACGGACATCCAGAGCATTCAATGTGAATCATTCGAGAATGGCTACATGGTCAATTTCCTGGATGGTGGATTGGGCGAAATGGCCTAATTCCTTGGCTTCCTATTCTGATTTAACTCTAATGGACTTTTATTTGAGGCGATCTCGAGTCCCCGCGGAGTAACGATTTATTTGAATTGAAACAAAGACTAACACAACATACAATTAATGCCATCCCCAATTAAGAAATCTAAAACGTCTACACAGAATTTACCAAGCGCGCCGAGTGATGTGTAATGGTTGAAAATTCATTTTGATTTTGAAAACACCTTGTATATTAATTAATTGGACTAATTTTGTCTACTTCCTAGTTTAAGGTCAAGCAGAGATGATGCCGAGAAGCTCAAATTTCAACTCGAAAAATTTTTATCATTCACACCCCACGTGCACTCAATCCGCGGACACACTGTATATATTTTTTGTATCCAATATAATTGACATATGGCAAAATATAACCTTGCAAGATGTTTTCGATGTGTAAGTCATCTGTCATTCATCCAATCACTTCCACGATTTTGTTGCTTCTCTCCCAATTCATACCTCCCAAAAGCATTCTTTCTGTATTCATGGTTCCTCCCATCTGGCTTCCACAATTAAATTCGGGTTTCATCTGTGAAGAATATTTTTCTAATGTATATTTCCGTGAACATGTTTTCTGAGAAATTTTAATCAATAAGGCAAATGACGATAAAAAATATTCGATAATTTTGACCATGACTATAATAAACAAGTGTTTTAAATTCATTTCTTGTTAATAATTTGGAAGGGATTAAGAAGTGTCGGTTAGAGTGCATTGTAGTTGCATTGCATGTTTAGTTAGAATGCAGTGTTCCTTCAGTGCATCCTAAAGGACATTCCACTCATCAAGAATTATGTTAACAATTTTGGTAAGTATTTCTATGAAGTGAGGTCGTTTTCCATTTTTTTTATTCAATCAGTTTGCCTAACTTAAGTAGCACCTGTCATCGCGTTAAAAGCAATTGCTACTACCAAAGCGACAATAACCCACCAATGACCGACATTATTGAGAAATCTAATTATTTTGTTAACCAAAACAGAAAGTAATTATTTGATGGACAAATCCATCCAATAAAGTTTTTGAAATTGTTTCACTACTGCTGTAAAGCTGTTAAATTGCTGAGCAGTATACGAGGTCTATTAGAAAAGTATCCAACCTTTGGCCCAAGAAAAAATCTGGCATACATGGAGCATTGAAAACCCTCTTTCAGTATGGAGTTTAGCTCGGCTGTCGTTGCAGCTATAATGTCCTCTCTTGTCTGAAATCGCTTTCCTTTCAATGGCCTCTTGAGTCTGGGGAGCAGCCAGAAGTCCCAGGGGGCCATATCAGGAGAGTAAGGAGCCTGTCAAACCACAGGAATGTGATTTTTCACCAAAAAAGTCTCAATCAAGTGCGAGGAATGTGCTGGAGCATTGTAGTGATGAACGCGCCAATTTCTTGTTGACCACAAATCAGGTCTCTTGCGCCGCACAACATCACGTAGGCGTCTGAGGACATCCCTGTAGTATTGTTTGGTGATTATCTGCTCCTGAGGTGCGTACTCGTGGTGTACCACACCGTGGGAGTCAAGGAAAGCAGTCAGCATCACTTTGACGTTGCTGCGCACTTGGTGGGCCTTCTTTGGACTTGGTGACGTGGAATGCTTCCACTGCGAGGACCGTCACTGTGACTCGTTACCAGTGATGATGGTGTTTATGAAGTCGGGATCACTGTTTGTGGAATCCAGCATGTCCTGTGAGATTTCAATACGAAGTTGCTTTTGTGCCACCGTGAGCAGTTTCGGCACGAATTTCGCTGCAACTCTCTGAATGGCCAAATCCTGGGTCATAATGGAATGTGCCGAAAAAGTGCTGATGCCCATCTCTTCCGCAATTTCACAAATAGTCACACGACGGTCCCACATCACCACAGCATTCACTTTGGCAATGACCTTGTCATTTCGGCATGTTGATGGCCGACCGGAGCATGGTTCGCTCTCCACCGATGTGCGGCCGTCTTTAAACCGGTTGTACCACTCCTTAATCTGCTCATGCAAACGCGTTTGATTCAAATCCATCAGGTTTTCACAAAACAAAATAAGGTCGGATATTTTTTTAACAGACCTCGTATGTCGTTCTTTTTCTAATATTAATTTAATACCATCTAAAGTTCAAAATGATTATGACGTTTATCCGTGAATACCAAATTTCTATTTTCACAATGAAAATGAGGACACAAATATACCGTAATATCACTAAACACTGAAATAAATAACTTTATAAGCTTATACCCTTACACTACAGAAAGACACAACATTGTATTTCTCAATCAGTAAAAACTGATACCTACCTCATGCAGAAAGTTGCGAAAATACCTAACGTACAACAAACACCTCAAACCGATAAACTGAAAACTAAAATAAATGTTGAACTAAACTTATATTCCGATCGTGTAAACAATGATCAAGCATATGGCTATAAAACTATTGGTCAACAAAACAGATCGAACTATGCAATCTCTGCCAAAGACGCGCTATCATAGAACCATTATTCACAATTTGATGTTTAGCACTGATTCAACTGCTGAAATGGCTGAATAAGAAAAAAAAGAGAATAAGAACATAAAGTATTTTAGTTTTCCTAAATAAGTCCTTGCGTATATTTATAAACACAGCTATGAGCAATTGTTTATTTCATTTGAGTATTTACTTTAATTTAGTAACGTATGCCTGTCTATATACCAGAATTAGTTAATATTTAATAAATCATGCAAAAATAATATATTTTTTAAAACACTTGAAAATTTTTTGCATGGTACTTCGACTAACTGACGTCTTTTTAAGGATACCTCCATAATATTGGCATGACTGCTAGTTAAAAGGAATAAATACTGGAGAACAGACAAATACATAGTAAATATGAAATAGTGAAGTGAAATAGGATTGTCAATCTGTTGAAATTTTAAGTTGAAAATGTTTTAATTTTTTAAATTTTTTAATTAAAATGGAAAATAATCAAGAATTATAAGTTAGCTTGCTAGTAAACTTCCAATATTGGTTATTTACAACAGTGTAACCTTACCACTGCTTACATTTCTACTGTTAACTAAATTCAGTAATTTTTGTTGTAATAAATTTTAAATTGAGAATAATTATTTCAGTTGGCGCAATTATTGGTTTGTGATTGGTTACTGGAAACGAGGACTTCCCTCTGGGAAGACAGCGTGGAGGAAGGCCTGAAAGGTCCAGTTTCAAACAGCACTTTGACATCCTTCCAGGCCGATATGGCATCTTTGAGGTCCCTCGCCGAACACATACCCGTAAGTTTTTCTAACTCGTTTCCATGCAACGGAAGTAAAGTTGAAGACAAAATAATTATTTATAATTTTAAATTTATTTCAGTCCGCTTTATCAAGAGTCTTCTTGTACGAAGCCACTGCCAGATTGATGGCAGGCGCTGCGCCCGGTAGGACCCAGCAGCTTCTAGATCGCAGTTTGAGACAGCGGCATGGGAAAACTTCGATAATATGTGGTAAAGGTAACTATTTTTTGTATAATTCATGTAATATACCAGTTATTTTTTATGAAATTTATAAATATTTTGAAAATTAACTGCAACTTTTGCTTCAAATCAAAAAATTTTGTTATAAGAGGGCTTTATAGCAAATAGGCAACCAGCCTATACATATATATTTTTATAGATTTTATTACACAGTTTGTCTAAATATGAATTAATGCACAAATAACAGACTTTCCCCCATTTTAAGGCAGATTTTCTATAAAGTGGATTTAGTTTGAAACTCAAATTACTTTTTGGTGTAAAGAAATTTGTAATTTACGATGACGGCAAATTTTTCCTAACTTTTACAAGTTCTGGACAAACGATTTATTATGGTGTATTGGTGGTTTCAGGTGACAGAAACGGCCATGAAATGGGTGGCGAGAGGCAGCACGCGGCAGCTTTATACATGGCGTGCAAACATTTGCCAGGGCCTTTGTTGTCTTCGCCCGGCGAAAGGGCTGGAATGCTCGTCGAAGCAGCCAAAACTCTGGAACGAGTCGGTGATAAAAAGCGATTGCAGGATTGCTATAAGCTTATGAAAGCTTTGGGCACTAATGCCGTAAATAATTAATTTGTCGATAATATTCAGTTAGTGTTTGTAGTACTGTAGTTGTACATATTTATTTATCAGCTTATATAATTTACTTTTTTTAATTAAAATAAAATTTAATTCTTTTTCAAACATACTTTGTTTATTCTAAGGAAACCTTTCTTAGAGTCTTTCCACTTATTTCAAGCTAACAGAAAAATGTTTCTGTTTTACACCAGAATAAAGGTAAGTAATATTTCTTAAATAAAAAGTTTTATTTTAAAAGTGAATATTCTAAAAAAAGAATTTCAAATAAAATTATTTTTATTTTATTAATTACCTGCTTCACACGTCAAATCCAATTGCAGTCAGAAGAAGTGTTTTTTTTTTAGTTTCATCTGTAACTATTTTAAGTTTTTTCTATGAAAAATTGTTATTTACAAATGTTTTATTTTATAAGGAAAAAAGAAAAAATTCTCATGCGCGTGACAGTAGCGGTGAATAGTAGTATACACAAAAATATTGAGTCATGACCCCTTTGCCTTCCAGTTGCCCGATAAAATAATATTCAGGGTGATTCAGAACTTATAAAAATAAAATAAAAAATTTGGATGTAGAGGGGACTTAAAAATACAATTTTGTAAAGAAAAAATCGAAAAGGGCAGTTCGAAAATGATTTAAAATACACTTCTGCACGGCACTGGAAACTGATTCACTGCAAAGCCTGACCTGGCACAATGCGACCGGCACTGCGGCAAAGTGTGATAAAAACGGACAAAAAGAATTTCGCATGGAAAGAAATAAATATAATTTTCTAACACCTACTTTATATCAGCAAATTCAACTGCTTTTACTGCTATTATTAATTAATAAAATTAATTTGTGGTTCTAATTAATAAAATAATTTGACATACCTGATGTTACAACTGTTCAAAATTTTGTCCACCAACGTGTAAACACATTTGCGCCCGTCTTACTCAGTTTCTACGAACTAACACAAATGTTGTCCAGCTTTACCATAACACAAATGTTGTCTTGCTTCACTATAAATTAAAACGATATCAACTCTGAGTTGCTATACATGCAAGCCATTTTTGACACTAACTACTAAAAAACTATTGTAAACACTATCGGAATGACGATTGTAAAATCACTGAGGCCACGTGGCCTTCCATGCGTATTGCGAATGACGCTAGAGACTACAGTTGTGCACCGATGTAATGCTTGATAGTACTACAACTTCAATAATTTTTTTTCTCGGAAACTAAGGATTTTACAAAAAATTTGTTTGCGATATTGCATCTATTCCCAATTTTTTTTGGATACATTGTGAAACACCCTGTATAGTGTGCGCCAATAAGTGTGCATCAAATGTGAACATTTTTTATCTGCTAATAAAAAAAAACAAAAGTACCAAACATGTTCAATGTTAGGTGTTTTTAGAATGGTTCAAACTCTAACAGCAAACTATACTTAAACATTGAAAAATATATAGGGCGTATCATTAGCAAAACGTACAAGTTTGTGTTATATTTATAACTAAAAATCCGAAAATTATACGTAGATTAAAAAAACCTTTTTACAATAATCGAATATTTTCAAAAACGAAAATGTTAAGTATAGAAAAAGACCATTATTAGGGTTGCCAACCGTCCTCCAACCAGGAGGACAGTCCTCCTTTGGATCAAAATGTTCTCCGTCCTCCGCAGGTACATCGGAGGACGCAATTTGTCCTTTACACTAAAATGTTCTAAAATTCCAAAAATACGAAACAAATTTAGATTTTATTTATTGGCGCACAACCTGGCAACGTTGACTGATCACAACAGACAGCGATCTACCATTTTCAATTAGGCATGGTTACAAAACTAGTCAAAAATGGTCATTCATTTTTCAAAATATAACGGGGCTCGAAAATATATTCATTCTGATTTATTTTGCTCTAAGCATTCCTGCCACTTCTGCGCTTCCTGAGCTAATTTTTTCTTTAATGAATATTAAGTGTCGGAAAAAAAGCCTTGTTGGATTTAATAAAATCAAAACTAATTGTCTCTGCTAATTCCGAAAGCAGTTTTTTGATATTATTAAATCAGATGAAAAATTTTTGGATGCAGTTAAAAGCAAAAAAATATAAGTTTATGTTTTTTATCGAGTTTATTTTTTGTTATTTTTCAGAAAAAGTAAGTTTATTTTTGTTATTTTATTATTTTGTTAATATATGTTTTGTAGAAAAATATTTGCTGTTTCCTGATTACTGATAAATTTATAGGTATCAATTACACGATCGTAAACGCTAAAAAATTCCTAGTGTCCTCCTTTAGCTCTCTTCCGAGTTGCCAACCCTAACCATTATTGAAAGATACCGTTATCTTTTGAACGCAATAGAGAAAACTCACTTTACTTAATTTATAAAAAATGTCACATTATAAACATGCCTGCTTGTTCTGAAACTATAATTCAGGTACTAAATATGTGATACTATGACTTCAGTTTTGATCAATTTAAATTTTAGAAAAATATAAAAACCCTTCTTTGGAGATGTTTCTCCTATTTTCCGCAAGGATAGAAAAATGTAGTTTAGACACAAGGGCTCGATCTTTAAAAATTGTGGATTTAATTTTGATAAATTGTGGGTGAAGTAAAGCATGATAGGGCTACCTCTTAGCCATTAACAGAATTCTTAAATAATCAACAGTTCTATTATTTATGCATATTTTTATTTGAAGTAACACAGCACCACAAAGAAAATGGCTGGACCATGGACCATAGTGCACAGTATTTTGACCCGCTGATTCTGAATCTAAAATTAGAAATCCCCTATTAATTCGTATTTTGATCAAGAAACTGCCCTAGAAAGTGGTTTTTAAAATTTCAAACCGATTTGTGTAGTCCAGTGATTGGAAAAACATTTGGAATTTAACTAATATTTAAATCTGTTATTTAGAGGTTTAGAGGAATCTACGGGATTACGCGGGTTATGGTACAATGACTTTATGAACTCGAACGTTTTTCCAATTACTGACTACCAGGTTTAGAAAACCATTTTCTTGATGTTAGGGACAAAACACGAATTGATCTGGGAAGTTTGAATTTAGATTCAGTTTCAGCGGGTCAAAATACTGTGGAACACTGTTGAGGAATCGCAAAATTGGGCTTTGGCTCATTAGGTGACAGGGACCCACGTTAGGCGCCATGTCGTGGCACTGAAAGATTGGACTGTCCAGCTAGTTACGGATTTCGGTTAATTCCTTGGATCATCTTATCATCCTTCAGCATACTTTGTAGCTGGTCTTAGGACAATGGTCTAATTTAAGGCCTCCGTAGTGGCAGCTTTAGGGTTGAGTACACATTGAGGGTTTTCGCTGTAGGTAGAACGGACCTAAGCGGATGACTTTAAGAACTACGTCGTGTAGCTATTTTTATAGAGTAACCCCAAAAATAGTTTACAATATATGTTTAACAATCGATATTGTCTATATCTCTGCATAATATGAAAGAGATTTATAAATTTTAATCCTGCTGAAGGCTGCATGCACCGGCCAGATCTCGGACACTGGTTACTGAACTGACGATAGATCGAGCAGACGTTCGTTCACGGCGGGGGGCATCTCCGCTGGTGGCGGTGTGGCAGCATCAGTATTGGCTGTTAATGTTGGATTTCCGTTTGGTTTGGTTTTTGTCAAATTCGGTGAATTTTTGATCTCCGAAATCCGATCTGGACTGACTCATTTTCCTTTACATTGTGTTGTTTTGCAATGTCTATTGATACTTTGCAATTCCCGTGTCACGTTGTCTTAGGTCCCATCGTTGGGAGCATCGTCCTCCGTCGGTGTCGGCTGCTGTTAACGGCTCCGTGCTACACATTACTAATTTTTTGCATGTTTAACAAAACAAGAACGACGTCTGAAAACAATTTTGTCACGTTACCTCACTGATACATTTTTTTATCATGCAGTACATGCAGCAATTTTGAAGTCAAATAACTCGAAATTAAGGTTTTACCAGCAAAAATTTTATTTTACAATTACACAGCCCCACAAAAAAAAATCTGCATCGGACTAGACCACTATATCCGTTTGACCTTGTCAGGTGAAGTTAAAGGTCATTTCAAGGTCAAATCGAGAAGCGAATCATTCTACACATCTCCTTTCTGAGCAGTTGTCATCGTTTCCAGTATCCTTCATGGTAGCAGGATTGTAAATGCTCTATTAGAACCACCATAGAAATGAGGCTTTTACTTATATATTGATGATTTAAATGAAGTTAGGCTTGTCAGTAAAGATATTTTATGTAAAATTTCATTACGTACGACGTACGAGTAATAAACAAATTTATCATTGTTGGAATGTGAATACTCATCTTTCACCATAGAATACGAAACGAATATTACTATACCTGTATTGTTGACATGTATCTTATAACGCACTCAACTGTCTACCAAAATTCTCCCTCAACTTCAAGCACGGCAACTATCCAGAACCTTTCTTACCGCGAAGGATGAAAGCGTTAGTAACCAATAATAGTAGGTATAAAATTATAGTGTCGGATTTTCAAATGTGATGGAAAAAGATCATGCTAATGTAAAGACTCGTGAATGTTGAGAGTCTTTCGGTCCATTATAGATGAGCGAGGCTAAAATTGCCTTGTAAGCCAAGCCAACTATAGTCTGTTTAGAAATGAAAGAGAGTAATATTAAAAGCTTATTATGAATGCAAATCGTAAATAAATGTAGTACTGGTGCTTATATTCAATATTTTTATATTATGAATTTTCGGTGTAGATGAGGTGTACTTTTAAAAAAACTTTGTGCGATCGGACTGTACTAAATTGTAGCAGGTAGCTAAAGTTTAATCCCCGATAATCCGTCTTTGTCTATGCCGCTTCAATTTCTCGGTCCATTTCTCTTATAAGTAAACAATATAAAAACAGCATTTCAAAACATGAGGCTACTTTAAGCATCATAACCGGGTTAAGAGGGTTTTTAGTAATTCAAATAAAATTATTCAATATTATTATCAAAATATTTATTTAAATTTAATGAATAGACTTTTATTCCACACAAAAATATATGTATTTTGAAAATTCAAATTATGGTGAGTAAATGTAGTGTTGTATAAATGTACAATAAAGAAAATAAAAAAGTAGGTATATTA